ATTGATTTACTATTCGGAGCCGACCTGTTTCCTTCGGTTCTACTTGATGGCACGCATAAGGGTCAACCAGGTGAACCCCTAGCACTGAACAGCGTATTCGGATTGGTTCTAATGGGACCAACAGAATTTTACGACGGCTCGTCTGTAACTACATTGTGTTTAAATGTATCTGATCCTATTGATTCGTTAATAAAAAAAATTTGGGAGCAAGAAGAACTACCCACCACTTGCCATTTGAGTCCTGCTGATATTGCTGCTGAAGAAATATACAACTCAACTACGACTCGTCTAAGTTCAGGCAGATTTGTAGTCACGCTTTCGTTTCTGAAGCCACGTCCACTGCTTGGAGACTCAAAAACGTTAGTTTTCCAGCGGTTCAAGGCCCTCGAATGTCGGCTGACCCGCAATAAAAATCTGCAAGCTCAATACGCTGAGTTCATGCACGATTACCTGACAGCTGTCCAGCTATATGGAGTTGATTCCGCCGTCTGAACTTGGAAATCCATATCATTACTACATTCCGCATCATTGCGTGCTAAAACCCGATAGCCTTACTACCAAATTGAGAGTGGTATTCAATGCTTCTGCAAAAACTTCAGCTGGAATCTCGCTGAATGAAAGTATTCACACAGGTCCGAAATTGCAACGTGATATTCAGGTCGTATTGCTTCAAGCTCGACTCTGGAAGTACCTCTTTATAGCTGATATCAAACAAATGTATCGCCAAATTCTCATCAGGCCCTCTGATCGAGACTATTTGCGGATCCTGTGGAGATTTTCGTCGCAGTATCAAATTGATGAGTACCGATTATGTACTGTAACGTACTGGACTGTTGCTCCCTATCAAGCACTACGCACTGTCCGTGAATGGGCTACAGTCGATGGTGCCACCTGGCCGCTAGCGGCGTCTGTGTTATTAAACGATACGTTTGTTGATGATGTCCTAACTGGAGCCAATACTATTGCAGATGCTCTCGAGTGCCAATCTCAACTCATACATTTGTGTGCCATGGCGCAGTTTCAATTGCGAAAATGAGCCAGTAATAGTAGTCAAATTTTACAAACAGTGGCTGAAGAGGACCGTGCTATTTCTCCCTCTGTTCTACTTGACACTAGTGAACAATCAGACTTAAGGGTACTCGGTCTAAAGTGGGACCCACTAGCAGACACTTTCTCATTTACCGCTAAACCTTCGACTACCAAGCCAACAAAACGTTCAGTCCTACCGGAGATTGCTAGGATTTTTGATCCATTAGGCTTGCTATCTCCTACCACCTTCTGGACAAAATACCTTATGCAACAGTTGTGGACGTTAGGTGTGTCGTGGGATGATCCAATCCCCGTTAACATTCGTGATTCTTGGTTACGATATCAATCAGAGCTGCTCATGATTGAGCACATCTGTATTCCCCGACGTCTCACACATGATAATATGAAAAACGTGCAGCTGCATGCTTTCTCTGATGGTTCAGAGAAATGGTACGCCGCAGCAGTTTACCTTCGTGTTGAAACTGATACGGTCATACATTGCCAGCTTATAACCGGAAAGTCCAAGGTTGCTCCCCTCAAGAAGTCTACGATTGAAGTCCTCGACTTGAGTTGTGTGGAGCTCTGCTTGCTGCAATGTTACTTAATTTGGTAACAACCACATACACCGATCGCTTGAAAATTGATGAACTGCATGCGTGGACTGATTTCACAACCACTTTAGTTTGGATCCAATCGTCGCCACACCGTTGGGCCACCTTTGTTGCCAATCGTACTAGTCAGATACAAGACCTAACAGCACCATCAATATGGCATCACGTCCCCACGCAGGATAATCCAGTCGACTGTGCGTCTCGTGGTCTGTTCCCTTTAGAACTTGTTGACCATCCCTTGTGGTGGACAGGCCCCTCATTTCTTAAGGAAACACCTGATAAATGGCCAACAACACCTATCCCTCGAATGAACAGCAACAACAACACGATTCATCTTGAAGAAAAAAAGCCAATTGTATTACTCGTCAGTGTTGACTTGTGTTTCATGAATTTACTTGAGAGATTTTCTACTTTAGACAAAATTCTTCGGATCGTTTCCTATTGTATCAGGTTCCGTTTTCGTAATATGACAGATGCAAGGACGATGAGGGTCAACGCGGAGGAACTCTCGTGGTCACTCCTAGCACTCATAAAATATGTACAACAATTTACTTTTCCTGATGATCTATCTCGACTAAGCCAGGGCTTCCCCCTGTTCAAAACCCTTGCGTCATTTAGACCCGTTTGTTGACGCCTTTGGTTTAATCAGAGTGGGCGGTCGACTGACTAATGCCGACATACCGTATGCTCATATGCACCCGCTTTTGTTGCCCGCTCGAAATCGCCTTACTACACTGCCTATTGACCATCATCATGTAAGACTGAAACATCCAGGCGCACATGCACTGCAAGCATCATTACAACGAGAATATTGGATCTTGTCAGCTCGAAAGTCAATTCGGTCACGATTACGACAGTGTATTCCATGTTTCCGCACAAAACCTAGAAATGTACAACCAAATATGGCCAGCCTTCCATCGTATCGTGTGCAACAACTCAAACCATTTACAAGTACTGGCCTTGACTATGCCGGTCCAATATCACTAAAGGGTTCTCGAGGCCGACGAAGTGCTCCCACACTAGCATACATATGTCTGTTTGTCTGCACAACTACGAAAGCGTATCATTTGGAGTTGAGCTCGACCTTGTCCACTGAGACTTTCCTGTTGGCGTTTGCCCGCTTTTCATCTCGCCGCCGGCTTTATTGTAAGGATTTTTTCCAACTGCACAAATAAAATATATGTTACAGTAATAAGTGGGGGCTCTACACTAATTACTATTAAAAATATTATTTAAACTATAAAAAAAAACTTTACACGAAAAATTGTCAAACTAATTTTACTATGAATTATTTAGTAAACAAATAGTTATTAAACATAATAATAATAATATTTTTAAATATATTTATGGATGAAAATTGTTTTTTAAAATAATCTGTTTTTGGAATGCTTTTCTGCTGTATTCTCAATATCTTGTAAATCCCTTTTTACACCTTGTGTTTGAGATGCTTCTGCGAACACTCCTTTGAACCAACTTTGTTCGCGTGCCGTAGGAGTCTCTTTTACTCGGCGACTAGTCTCACTTGTCCACGATAAAACTGCATCTCTTGGGTCCCATAAGCATAAAGGTGTCATGTTGAAATGAACAAATAAATATTCGTTCTCCGACTCAACGAGCAAATTTTGTCTATCAGCAGATTTTAAAATGTTACTTGTGCTGATGAGACGCTCGATATCTGCACTATGTGGTTTAGCAGCGAGAACTCGAGAAAAAATAGTTAGTATGGTGTTAAATGATCCAGATTTAGAAAGCTGTTGAACAAAAGAGGCCAATAGAAATTTTTCGTAGGTTCTCAATGTTACTAACTTCTTGAATTTCTTCATATTCGAGTACAAAATTTGATAAGTCTAAATCCCTCCCAATTAACTTATGTACTTTTTTTAATTGGTCTTGTGTCAATGAGCCTAAACTAATAAATGGCTTAAGAACTTGTACTAATTCGTCATTAATGTCAATTCGGTCTAATAAAAAATTGGCTAAACTCTCCACTAATTCATTACAAACAGAAGTGACATTTCGTGAATCTGTAACAAATAAATGATGTTGGGTTCTCCTCTTCTTAAGGGTATCAGCACCAGTTAACTGAATACCTTTTAATTTATTTTCTTTCAATTGAGATTCAAGCGAATTCACCCATCCACCAAGTAAATTATTTGTACATAATGTTCGAAGCCGTTTAACAACAAACTCTGTCTCTTTCGTCAAATCTAAAATAGTTATAAAATCACTTTGTATTTTTTGTTGGTATCGACTGAAAATTAGTAGTGTATCTGCTAAAAAGCATAATAAACGCAAATTATCAATGTTGGTCAAAAATTTTAAAAAACCTTTTGATTCTTTTTCTTTAGAGGTTTGAAAAAATAGAACAAGAGCATGCCAAGATACAAGAACAGAGTTCACAAGGGAAAACGAAAATTCAGTCCAGCGTACTTGGAAAAATTTTGGGATTCTTAAGAGCTTGCAATCGTTTACTTTGGCAATATTCTCAAGTTCTCTTGATCGGAGAGCCGATGTATGGAAAAATGTAAATAAACCTGTTAATGTTAAAACTAAATGCTGTACTTCGGAAACTGAATTACTTGTATCTTTCCATGCTAATTTGGATCTATGAGCAGCACACCAAATTGTAATTAATGGAATACTATTTTCATCCAATGATCTATATTTTTGTTTAAATAATGTCCAAAGTCCTCCTCGTTCGCCAGTATTTACAGAAGCTCCATCCGTCACGATCGATGAAATATTTTTAAAAACATAATCAGTCGCTTCGGCACCAATTGTGTTAATAGATGCGACTTCAATTGCGTCTAAGATTCCTTGAGCTCCACGTTTAGAAACCAGTCCAGATCCGAGAAAAAATTGGTCTTCTTTTCCAGTCTTGTCAATAACTTTTATTAATACATATATTTTGTCTATTTGAGACCTATCCACTGAACCATCACATCTCAATGATATAGTCAAAACATCTTTCATTAGTTTCAAAGAAAACTGTTTCCTATAACTTGTAACTATAGTTTTTAATAAATCTTTATGAGTGGCAGGAGTCAAGTATTGAAAATCGTAAGTATCAAAATTGTTTTCTTCATTAATATGATTAAACTTGAATGATGAAGATAGTTCACCAGTTATTACTCTCATTGGATAAGTATGAGCACTTAAAGTTAATTTTTTCGCATCACCATATACATGAATCATTAAAGATCCTATTCTATTGGCAAGTTTTTCTTTCGATTTGATTACCATTTGGCCAAAAGTAGTTGATTTCGCAACTTCAGGTATTGACATTTTGCTTATTTTGAATGCTTTTAAGCATTCGTTGTGGTAATCCTGTTTAAGATGTTCATCAATAGTTACAGTTCTTTACTGGGCACCTAAGTCCTGACAGATCTTTGGAACTTGAGTTTTTTTAGAATACATTTTGACAAGTTCTGGGAATTTGTGACATATTATACATCTAACAAAATGTTTACCTCCTCTGTGCATATGATCAAATGTTTTGGAAAGTTTTGGCTTTTCGGTCATAATCATAGAGGGATTTGAAAAACTATTTTGAGTTGATTCAATCGATGAAGAAAAATCACGAGAAGTTGTGGTGTTTGTTGTAGTTTCTGTGATTGTTACATGACTTTCTGATGAAGAAGTTTTTGTGTTAGTGCTATGAGATGTTATTGATTCTGATAAAGCATGTGATGAATCTAAAGACGTGGAAGGTGCCATTATCGGTTTCACTAACCAATTATTCAAACTATTCGATGTCATCCTTATTATTTATATTATAAAATATGAATAACCTAAACAAAAAATTTAAATATGTAGAAAATAATTGTTCAAAAGATAAAGACAAGTGAATTTCAATTAAAAGTATCTAATAAAATTTAGAAGTTGGTGAATTCGATACCAATTTCTGTATTAAAATATTTAATATTTTTATTTAATTAATTTGTTTATAGTATTATCTAACGATTCTAACGTTTAACAATACATTTTGCTAATGCAATAATGCACCATTCACGTAGTCATTTGTACACGAGCCGTCAACATTTTTTTTCTAAATTTATATTAACTTAAGAGGACGCTACACCCGTATATTATGTTGTCTCTGTCTTTCAAACGTAAAATATAGCAACAACTATTTTGGCGCGGGAAAAAGTGTTTTTCGGGAAAAATTAACTTACAACAAGACGTGTGTACTAAGCCATCGATATAAGAATTAAGAGTATCTATTTATTTATATTAATTAATAATTTTACCTTGATGACGATCCGACGATGACAAGCCCGTGAATAATGCAAAGTAAATGAAACAAATAAAAGCATGTATGGTATACATACGTACAGTTTCAAGAAATAAAATAATAAGTGGTTGATAATCGGCAACGATCGGTGATAATGTGATATTATGGGAAAATTGGACGGGCCTACTGTCAATATCTATTTTTAACACGTTCGACGTCGATAGCGAGCGCGTAGTCGTCATTCGTTATCGGGCGTGACTGATTTCAATTTTCAGTATTTCATGTACTACGTACTACGTAGTAAAATAATATAAATATAAGATAACGCATCATGCAAAATTTAAATAATTTTGGAAATCTAATTTTTGTTGTATTTCTCAAGTGCACATATTCGCTTAGCCAACTGCACATTTTATATTTCCTAATGCACAATTAGTGTCCTACTGCACGTTACAATAAAGCCTGTCTCGCCGTGGTCCAATCAAAGAGATGCACAGTGATTGCGGGACAAACTTTGTTGGAGCTTCAAAACTGTTAACCCCGTTGACACAGCTCACTCACTCATCTGCGTTCCAAAGTGACGTTCCAGACAGAAAAAATTCCCATCGTTGGACACGGCCTGAAGCCATTTTGGGTATTACTTTGTCTTCACCTAATAAAGTCATTAAAGGTTTGTGATCCGACTTGATTGTGAACTCTCTTTCCTTTAAATATTGATAATTCTTTGTTACACCCCATACTACTGCCAATGCTTCTTTATAAGTTGTTGAATAATTTTTTTCTGCTGATGACAGTGCCCTGGATGCAAAATGTATTGGTTTTTCTGAATTATCACTTAACACATGAGATAGAATTGCACCTAACCCCTTATTTGAAGCATCACATGTTAACACTATTGGTAGGTCTGGATCATAATGAGTCAATACTTGTTCTGACATCAAAATGGTTTTTATTTTATTAAATGCTTTATCACAGATTTTAGACCAGTGGATATCTTTTATATAACGGTTTATTGTTGCTTTGTAATCTGCGCATAATCTTATACTACAGTCAGGTTTTAATACAGGTACTAGTGGTGTGACCCATTGACACAATTCACTTTTTTTTATTACTAAACTGTCCTCCAACCTCTGAAGTTCTTTTTCAACAGGAAGTTTGTGTGCAAAAGGAATGCATCGATGTTTGTGTAAATTTTATAGGTTGTATATCTGAATTTAATTCCAAGTGTATCTCCATGTGTGCATATTCACCCAATTTACCACTAAAAAGGTCCTTGTACTCTACTAACAATTCATTTAAACTTCTCGCTTTTTTACTATCTTGAATGTTGTTAAGTTGAACCCATGATATGCCTAATTTACTAAGCAAATTCCTACCACACAGAGGGTAAGGATTTCCTGTACTTTTGACAACTATGAACTCACAGTCAACAGTTTTGTTATTGAATTCAACTTTAGCTGTGAACTGACCTACAGGTTGTATAGATGTACCATCAAAGAAATTAAATTTTTTGTATGAACTCTTTAATGCACAATTTGATAATTTGTCATTGAAAAACTGTTCAGTAATTACTGAAGCAGCTGCACCTGAATCTATTTCCATTTGGATAAGATTGTCATTGACTTTTACACTAATCAGCTCTGGTGGAAAAATTGCATCATTACTAACCTGACCATTCTTAATATTGAATAGGTTAAACTCATTAAACTCGTTAAAAGGTTGCTCTACTTCAGCATTATTTACATTTGTGTTAGATTTGCAAATTATAGCTAGATGCCCTATCTTATTACAGTTTTTACACTTATAGCTACGGTATCTGAAATCTGCAAAGTTGTGATTGTTTTTTCCGCAGTGGAAGCATGCAACTTTTCCTTGTTTGGCTGGTCTATTCTTTGCTTCTTTCTCTTCTTTTTCCGTGTCTCTCTTCGACTTTGGCGATGAATTGTGACTGCTGCTTTGTTTACCAAATGTATTTTTGTTTATACGACCAACATGATTTATGGTAGTATGTGTCTGTGGTTAGACAACCACTGCTTCTTTTTTTAAAGCGATGTCCACTAGTTCAACTAGAAGTTTGATTGGTTCCTCTCCACACAAACGGTCTGCAATCGTTCCTTTGATCAAGCCAGTAACAAATTTGTCCCTTAAGACATCGAAAACATTGTTACCAAACTTGCATTTCATTGCCACTTTTTTAATGCGTACATACCAATCGTTTACAGATTCATTCTGCTCTTGCATTAATTGGTAACACAGCAACTTTGGGCGCAAATTGCTTACTTAAAATATCGCAAAGTTTATCATACTTAACTGTATTGGGTAAAACGGGATCACATATTTCCCTTAAGATTGCGTAAGTGGAAGCTCCTATGACTGTAATTAATACGGCAACTTTCCTGCCTTCGTCCACAAAATGTGCACACATTTTTACACATTTTAATTAGTATTAATTTATAGCGGTGTTCAAAAGAATTACTATTAGTTTTCCTGCTTCTGGACGCCCTTGAACTAGAGCGTTTATGGGCTAGTCCTTGGTGGTATTCCCAGAGGTTAAATACTTTAGAACTTTCACTGGTGTCTTCCTCTGAAGAAGAAGACGATAATACCATGCGGTTGTTGGAAACCATTTCCTTGAGGTGTTTTATGGCATTAGCACAGGTGACCGGGTCCTTGAAATGTAGATTTTTGAAACGTGGATCCAACAATGTGGCCACGGGGCAAAGGTTAAATATTTCAATATTACCAAATCACCTATTCAATTGGGCAATGACAGCATTTTTTAAACTTCGGTAGTTGTGAACTTACACCATTATTCAAACAGCTAACAATGGGTAAAACCTTACTAATTGTAACATAATTCTCTGCTGACATCTCAGTTGTGACCATTTCCAGTGGACGCAAAACCAAAATTACATCATGTATTTCTTGCAGCTGTCTAGCTGATATCATTTCTGGTCCGTTTGGACGTGTCAGCATTATTTCCGAAATAATTTTAGAGAGCTCGACAAATCTTTGAAGCATATAAAAGACACTATTCCACCGGGTGCACCATCTTTAATGCCTGAATAAACAAAAATAAAAACATAAACCTTGTGAGGTTAATTTTCAATATATTTTTTTAGAACATACATTTTCTATAATAAATTAATATACCTTGATTAATCTGTTTTTTTCTAAGTTCATCACTAAGGAATGTGCTTCGTTTAAAGTGCTTCATGATCTCTCTTACATTTGATAATAAATCAATTAATGATGTGGTATTAGATATTGACTTTTCAACTATACTCTGTTCCACGAGAGATCATGCCGGTTCTGTCGAAACTGGTTACCCTATGACAGGGTGTGGCGTAGGGGAACCAGTTTTGGTCGGTGCGCGGCATGATCTCTCGTGGAACAGAGTATATTAAGTTAATTGTATGTGCGAAACAAGGCACATACTTATAAGTAACAAAAGAATCTTTCACCACTTTTGTGATGTTTGCACCATTATCTGATACAACAGCCATTAATTTGTCTATAGGAATATCCCATTCATTCAAGCATTTTAACATTTCTTGGCTGATGTAGTTGGCTGTATGAGATTCATTTAATTCTATGACACCAATAATTCCTGTTAAAAAAAAAAAAAAACATATAATGACAGTTTTTATTAGAAATTACTTTTTCTAAGAATACATACCAGATTTCATTGACAGGCTTTGTATATACAAATGGATGGTAATTCCTAAAAAACTTTTCATCTGTTGACTGTCCGTTCAAATGTCAGTGGTCAGAGAAAAATTTTGAAATGGTTTTTAAATCCAACCGAAATTTAGATTCAACAATTTTGTACTTATCGTCAATATATGTTTTAATAGTATTCCTGCAAGGGACTTTATACAATGGATTTAATTTGTTGACCATATTTCTGAAGCCTTTTCCTTCGATGGTTGAGAAGGCTTTATTATCTTTGCATAAAAAATATGCAATTGTATCTGTTATGCATTTATGTTGTGTTCCACCGACTAAAAAAAAAAAATCTAATAGAAAAATGTATTTTATATACATTATAAATATATTAATTTATTATAATAATATTTTTTTTTACTTTAAAAATACATAATAAATTATATTATAACTGATTGTAATTCTAATGAAATTAATTCAACCTACAAAATTATAAAACAATATGATTTTATAAGTCACCAAAATTAATTATTAATAGTTTTTTAATGGACATTGATGCTTATTTGAAAAAAACCATACAATCAAATTATGGATAACTAATAGTCTTCTTATCTCAATTAAAAATAGACAAAAACTTTATAAAAAAAAAATATTATTATTATTATCCACTCTGTTGTATTTATAGTTGTATAGTTAGTATTTAAACCAATTTTAATGTTAGCGATTCAAAATTAAACTGTACCAGACATTGATGAAATTTGCTTGAACACTTGTTTTATATTTTGTTGTCTCTGATTAGGAGAACTCTTTGGAATAGACACTATTGTTTTTTACGAGCTTGCAATTGAACTTATATCAGCTGCGCAGCGTGCGCTACTATCATCTTGAAAAACATACTGTAAGCACAATTCACAAATCAATTAACATTATAATATTTATAAAAAAAAGTATAAGAATTTTTTATGTACATCTGGGTCATCTGGATCATTTGAAACATCTTTTCTGCAAGTATTGTTATTGGCTTCACTGTTGGAAACAAATTTAGACATTTTTTTTTGTACAGGTTTGTTATTTTTTGGGGCATCAAACCCAGCTTCTGCTTTTTTTAAATGTTTATCTAAATGCGCTTTAAGGTTGGATGTGTTACCAGACGTTTTTATGACTTGTTTACATTCATTTTATGATGCCGAATATTGATCAATTTTGGTAAACGATCGCCAAAGTTTACTGGGAGCCATGATTTAAGACTAAAATCCTAAATTATAATTGATTTTTCATTAATATAAATGATTACATAAATATATGGTTATATAAATTGTTATGACTTGAGTTTCGATATATAAGTAAATATTGTATTAACTAATATTAAAAAAATATATCGCCTTAATATTAAGTCGATATTAACTAATAATAATATAATAACAATATATTGGTACTTACCAAATATAATCAATAGAGCACCACCAATTTCACTAAGACGGCAAGACTTAAGACGTAACTATGAAAGTATGTAACTCATTTAAGTACACAAAAACAAAACACAACTACAAGAATGAACACTCTTGAGTCTAATGTAAACATGTAGTAATGTCTATTAAGAAAATAAGGAAACACAAATTACAATGGCAATGACGTACAATTTCCAAGTAATAACTAATAACTAATAAGTAATAAGTAATAACAGTCTGTTATTAACAGACGTACAGAAGTACCTACAGTTGTCAGTCACAGACCACAGTCCACAATCACAAATCCACAGAAAAATACTTTATACGGAGAAAATTAAATTATGGGTTCATGGAAAAAATTCATGGATGAAAAATTATCGATACCAGACAATAATTATCGATATCACAAAAATATCGAAAGTAAAATATCGATATTTTTTCAAGGAATATCGATATATCGATAAATCAATATTTTTTTTGCCATCCCTACATGTGCGAGACTGCGAGAGTATCAATACGATTAGGGAGAATATGTCGTTTGTCGCCGAATCTGTTTAGGACTAATTTACTAGTTTTAATCGTGCTGACTTGGTGCTTATACGATCAGATAGATATATTTTCTCTACACGCCGTATGCGGCATGCAGGATTGTTGCTGTGTTAATAGAGGTGGTGGTGGAGGCTGCGGGTTGTTATAATTATAAATGATGAACTCAACGCAGTGTTTGGGTTCACATAAATATTATTATCTTTTATTGAAAACACATTTGTAGATATTGCCTATATGACAGTATTTTCTTCGGTAGAATTGTATATCACTGAACGCGATTTGACAATTGAAAAACATATAACAGGGAGATATAACATAGCCATAGTTATATAGCAGAGTAATCTACCATATAACAGGGTAGATTTTACAGTTTAAATATTTGGCTTGACTCAAGGTTTCCCTTGTTTTTACTTGGCCGATGAATAATGATTGAATTGATTGGTAGTTGGATTGAATCTCCCGGACTGATACTGGAGAGTAGGTACATCGGACGGCGGCTACGGTGACAACTGGTTGGTGGCGTGTGTGTGTGCGTGGCAATTACGACGGGTTGGTTTCGACAGCGGAACTATTAGGCCGGTTGCACACACATCGATTTTTTCCGTACTGCAAAATATCGTACGATACTAATTTTTAGTAAAACAAAGACAAATGTAGGGGCTTGCACACGACACGATATCAACACGGCACGGCACGATTGCTGTGTCGCTGCCGTCTACTGCCACTACGACAAACGGCACCGTCGCCGTGAATATGCTGGCGTACGCGACTGGATGCAAGCTTGCACACACCACGATTTTTATTCGTACGATACCATGTGATTTCTATTATCAATTTGTTATTATCAATTTTATAATATATTATTATTATAAAATATAAATAATTTTTTCTGCGTTGTTTCGTGTTTGGTGTTAAAATATGACGGACAATAATATCGACAATGAAATTTTAATTTCATTAGTTCACCTGAGGCCAGTGCTATGGGACAAAACATTAGATATTTATAAAGACATTAACGCTACCAGAAGTGCTTTTGATGAGGTATGCAGGGAAGTAAATAAGGAGTATGAAGAGATGGAGAACAAAAGAAAACACGAATTTAGTGAGTTTTTATTATACTTTTTATATTAACTAGTGATGGGTCGAACTAATCTAATTTTTTAAATCAAACCGTTAATTGAACAGAACTTTAAATTATTTTTTTCAAAACGGAAAAGAACGGAACCTAGGATCATTTTAAGTCGAACTCAACATCTTTTATTATGTATATTGTGCCTACAAATTAATTCTACCATAATTATTAATTAGTTATATTTTATAAATAATAGCAATAACTAAAAAATATAATAAGACATTGTAGAATTTAGAATGTAAGTTGAAAACATGTTTTTATAAACGAATAAAAAAATACGCCGAAAATCACGAAATTTCGCAGTTTTTTTTTATCTAGAAATTCATAAAAATGGTTGGTTTGAGTCTATTAGATTTGGAAATTTAACATGAGATTCTTCATAAGTTTTTCTACCTTTCTAATAAAAAACATTTTTACCGGAAATTCAAACTAAATTTTTATGAGCGTTTGAAGTTAGACATAGGTGTTCCCCCGTTTTTTCCGTGCATGATTTTCTTATTTTGATGTAATTCAAAAATAAATAATCGCAAAGATTTGAACATTTCGCCAATTGTTAAGTTTACCATTTTATAAACACAAAAAAAAAATTAAAAATAATTTGACAAGTTTTGGGCTAATTTGTAGGCCTGAGAAATTTTCGGGTTTTGCAATTATTAATTGATTTTTGAACTATTGTGGCCAGTAAGTCTGCTAATTATTTTAAAGTAAAATAACAGATAATTCGATTCGAATTTTTCTTTTTTATCAAATATTATTAAATGTAAATTGACTTTAACACTAAAATAATGAAAAACTTAATATTTAATTTAATATTTTTGTAACTTTTATTAAAAAAATATCTTAAATTGTTAGACTTTAAAACCATCTGTATAACTTATATTTTAGTCATGGAACAGCTCCAACATCCGTTAAAAAATATTGACTTAATATGCTTCTGACACTATTTGCTTTGATGCCACCCCGTACAGCGGCTTCTCCTGTTATATCGTCCAGTCCATAAAATAGTTTGTAGTTATTTTTTCTGTTAACATTTTTACAGGATAACAACATTTAACTATAAATCGCCTGCTGGAAAGACGTTGGTGGCACGAACAAATGTTTTTTTTATAGACTACCTAGGTATATGAATATACTTAATATTTTGTGACAGTATGTGATAATCACAAACTTTTTTATACCTAAATGATTTTTTGTAATTGTGTTTTATTATTTATTTATATTTATTGCTTGAATAACTATTTCCTTTTGATAGATTAACAATTTTAGATTCTAAGCAGAACGATGAATGTAATGATTCTACAATGATATGTGTATTGTGTATAAAAGTGTGATTTACATTTTATAATATACCTGCTATTATATTATGTTTTAACTGGAAATCTTGAAATGAAGAAAAAGATTTTAGATTATTATTTGTCATAATAGATTTATAATTATTATAATAATTTTATAAATAATTTATTTAATACCAAATAAAAATGTCTTATTTAAAATTATGTAATAAAATTAGGAAGTATACATAATATGAAAATACTATATGATATTATATATCTGGATAATAAAATATTCAAATAGTAACCAAATTTAATTTAATAATACGTGAAAAAAACATACTTAACTTAAGTTTGTAACATTTTACCCAAGATCAAAACAATTATCTAATACTTTATTTATTGTAATATTGTTAACAAATTATTATATTATAAATAAATTACCTGGTTTGTATCGACCGTGCATTATGAAAAGTTTCCATATAGTAACTGTGTACTGTGTAGTCACTACACTAACTAATTATTCAGTCACAAATATTATATTGTGAATGTCAAATGTAAATTGTGTATACTGCAGGTTGAAAGTGCAAGTGTTCAAAAAGTTTAAATTTAAAACCACTAAAATAACTCGTTATCGCCACATTGAAAATATATTTGGTTATTTTGGTCATCTGATTAACTGATTTATATCAAATCACGGTCTTATTGATTTACCCCCATATACCGACCCCTTCCCATATCGTGATAAAGAATAATGATATTAATATAATATTCTAATGTTATTATAAATATTATTTATATTATAATTTAAAAGTACCTATTAGCTATTTATAAACTTACAATGGATATAATTTATAGGACGGACTACGTTTCGTACAGTATCTCACCATGAGCCCAATTAAATTACCATTCAGAATTTTTTTTAATATTTGACGTTGGTAACAAAACATATTCTTTCTCACGATTGCGCCGCGCTCCGTTCGTTCGGTGACTTTTCAAAGTCGGCACCGCGTCGCCCCGCGTCGGCTACCGACCAAGTGGACGACAGAGCGGTCGGATATTTCCAAGTTAATTTTTTTTCTCGAAGTCTTTCACCAAAGTTAGAATTGGCAAAAATACTCCAATCGCTGTTTTTACCGTATACTCCAACATCAACCATAATAAACTTGCATTCAACGTCAACAACTGCCATGAGCATGAAGCTTCACATTTTTTTATAGCTGAGGTATAAGGAGCCACTATGATATGGTTTATTTATGACCACATGTTTACCGTCAATAGAACCAACACAATTTGGAAAGTTCCATCTAGTTCTAAACCCTTCTTCAATTTTCTGCCATTGTTCTTGGTTGGGTGGACTCATGTAAATTGGTGAAAGGTTCTTCCAAATTGCTTCACAAGTTTCGTATATTATTCTTCGTACAGATTTTTCTCCTAGTCTATAACTGAATGCAATTGTGATAAATGTATCTCCAGTAGCCAAAAATCTAAAAACCATGAGTAATATTAGTATAAAAATAATAACTATTGTATGTAATTCAAAAATAATAATGGTTCTTAAGAAATATGTTTTCTGATTGTTTTAGGAACTCTTCAATTATAAATTATCACAGTGTACCTATTGGCTACTATTATTCTTGTTAATTTTTTAGGTGAAGCATGCAAAAATAAATGGAAATCACTCAGAGAAAGCTATCGAAAAGCAATGAACGCCAGGAAAACCAAAAGTGGACAGTCAGGAAAAAAAATAAGACCCTGGCGCCTTGAAAGTCAGATGGAGTTTGTGAAATCATACCTATTTTCACAAAGTGAAGAAGCAATGAGTAATTTCCCTGCACTAAGTCTATCATCTCCAATAACTGAATCTAACGATTTAAGTTCTATAACTAATGAATTACTCGAAACAGAAGAAAATGAAGAAGAACTCAGTCAATCAGACAAACTTGAAGATAGTGTAAATAACCAAAACAACAAACAGTTGTTTTCAGTTGGCAAAAAAAGTGAAATTGGAACAGACAAACCTGGAAAGCAGCAAAATTGCTATATCAGTATATGCAAATGAAAATGTCGGCGTCTTCTAATCCACGACCCTCTAGAGATCAACTCACCCAATACTTCCAAAGTATAGAAGCGACTGTCCGCACTCTTCCAGTAAATATTCAAATCAAATTAAAATCACAAATTTCACAAATGGTTTATAATGCCGAATGGAAGCTGTATCAATGCCAACAAATCATCTACCATTTCTATCCGTTCAGCAGCCCAACACTGTTCAACAGCATCCTTATCCTATTCAACAGCATCCATATCCTGTTCAACAATAGTCTAACCCTCTTCAACAATCATATGTAGCTTTTCAGCCACAGTATACTGATCTTTCTTAACCAAATACCAAATATCTGGAAAACTCATTATCCTGGTTTTTTTTCCTATTATTAACTATGCTCTTAATATTATTTATAAGATACATTCACTTTAACTCAACAATAATTAAAATAGTAAAATAGTTACCTACTATTATTAATTGAAATTAATGAGACTGTTTATCATTATAAGAGTTACAATATTAATAAGTTTTCTTTTTTTATATTCATTTAATTTTATTCTAACCTTTGATAATTTAATGAGTGTTAGTTTGTTGTTAATTATATCAAAGGCTGTATGAATTTTATCGGGTATGTTATTTTTATATATTGTTAATAGCAATAAATATACTACCTATTATTCAAATGTTTCATATTTTTTATATTTCAAATTACTCTTAGGTATGGTATATTGTAAAGCTTTAGCTTTTGTTAATTTATTATACTAAAAATAAAATAAAATATATAATGAACATTTTTTATACTTACCTTAAACATATTTAAAGTCTTTCCTCAGGAGGTATTGCCCTTTTAAATGTGGTGTCCATCTTTTCAATATCATTCTTAACGAGTTTAAGAAGTTCATAAAATTTTTCCGGTGACATTCTAAAATATTTAAAAACATTTTTTTGGTCTCTCAAAAAATCTGGAAATAGATGGTGATGTTCGCCAAATATATGTCTTTTGGTATTTATGTCATGCACCCACATTTTGTGTTTTCGCTTATATTCTTGTTCTTGTTCTTCTGCTTCAACAATTGTAGCCAAAAACAACATTTCTTTATCAGATTCAGAATCACTCATATTACCAATGTTGATTTTATAAATTATAAAAAATAAAAAGGGATATGAATCGAAGATTGCGCATGAAATATAAGCTTTGATATTTAGAAAATACGTTTACCTGATGAAAGTGATAAAAGTTGATAAAAGTTGATAAAACTGATTATACATGTATATAGATCGCACCGCACCGCAATTAATGGACGAACGTCCCTCTGAAAGTCCACTTCGCTCCGCGCCCCGGTCGATCTTATTATGAGCTTTTGCCAAACCTAAATCTCTTTTTTGTAGTTGTAATGACAAATCAGATAATTCATTTAATACATCATATAACATACCTAAATTGAATACAAAGACTTTTGATGTTAACATATTATTTAGATCTTTCTTTTCCATCTCTTTTATTAACAATGGGAAATTCTTGAAAATGTTTATGGAGAGCAACATAGTTATTCCAAACTGCACGTACTGTTCTAAAGCCGGATGCCACCCACCGAATTGTAAATATCTTTAATATATTTAAAATACTGCTTTCTAAAGATGCAGCACATGCATTAAGTTCTGTCATATTTTTGGGAGATTGGTGATACAATGAATAAAGTTTTTCAAAAAAACATTGGAAGTGATTAAGACCTTGCACTTCTTTAATAGTAGTCACTTACAGCAAGTTCCAATCTATGGTTGCAAAAATGCCAGATAATGAGGTCAGGAAAATTTTTTTTTAGTAAAACACCAACTCCAGCTTTTCTTCCCAGCATGTTAGAAGCTCCATCACTAACAAATCCAACTAGATTTTGTTTTAAAAAATCTAATTTGATTCCATGTTTTAACATATTATTGGTTATAGCAGTTTTAATTGATTCAGCTGAAGTACAATTTAACTCAATAATATCAAGAAAAAATATATTAATGTCTTGAGAATCACCATTAGCACATCTTAAGCAAATAACTAACATTGTTTTTTTGCTCAATGTAGTTGACTCATCAACAACAATACAAAATTTTCTATTGTTTTCAATAATATCATTGCAAATTTTAAGCCTCATTTCATTAGAAATATGGTCAACAATATTAGCACAAGATTTATTCGTTTGTAACACTCGACCCATATTAACTCCATTGAGAGCTTGTAGGTCTATTAATTTAGGCATATCTAGAAATGGACGTTGATTTTTGGCAATGAAGTAAGCTGTTATAAATATTTTTTCTGTACTTTCATATTGTAATTTATTATTTTTTATAATTTGTAGATCCATAGTTTCTATCTTACTGCGATGAATTATGTTCTCTGCATTGATATGTGATTGACTACACTTATGCTTGGAGATCTTTTTCCTCAAACTAGCTTGTTGTTTGGATATACTATTTCCAGATGCAACAATGTCACATTGAATCCAGTTTGATGATACATGCATATGAGATACTTGATTCTTATTAAGATTTAAATTTACTTTATGGCATATATTACAACCCAACTTTTTGTTTTTGAAATACAGCCATGGATATTCTTCACAAAAGTATTTTGCTTGTTTTGAGTCCCAACATTCAGGAGTGTCATCATCTCTTGTAAATTCAATTGGTTGACATAAACTGTTGTTAACATCAATATGGTCTTTATTATTTACTGAAAAAAAAAAATACATGCCAATTACATTTAAGTCAATAATTATAATATTAAATTTGATAAAACTCAGTGTTATTAAAAATAAAAATTTGATAAAAAATATGTTTGGTCAACTTCTATTTTGTATTATTATCCTATACTATAAAATATGTTATAAAATACAATTAAAATGCTAATGTAAGACAGTACCTATGTACACAGTATAATTACATAATTGTATATTTGTATAGTTGTGTTGTCTAGTAATCTCCAAACTTAAATTATATGGTATTAATGATCCATTATCATGGTTAAATTATTTTTTAACAAATTGTACTCAAATTATAAAATATAAAAATGACTTTCTCAGTCTATAAATGTAACATTAGGTGTCCATCAAGGTGATCATATTATGTCACCACTATTATTCTCTCTCTTTATTAATGAACTAACTAAAAATATTACGAAATCAAACTGTTTGCTATTAGCAGATGATACCAACATTTATAAAAAAATTAAATGTTTAAATGAAGCTAAACAGCTCCAAGAAATCGAAATAATTTATTTACATGGTGCAATGACAACGGTATGATATTAAATAATGATAATTAATATGCAACTGTTTCATTTTCTTTAAAAGAAACTCATTATGTATTAACTATACTAACTGCATTAATAACTTATACTTGTCACATATAAATATTATTAATGACTTAGGAGTTAATTTTGATTCTAAACTTTCATTTAAAAATCATGTTGATCTTAATATTTATTTAAAAATTAAAATGTTATGACATACCTGCAGGAATACCTGGATCATCGGCATTGTGTTCATTGTATTGATTGCCATTAATATCTATAGTTTTAAATATTATATTAGTACATTAATTAATAAATCATAGGTAGATATAGATACTATTTGGTTTTCTCACACTGAAATGAGATATTATAATAATAATATTATTATACCATATGCCTTTGGAGTTTGGGAGTTTATTAAATATATTATATTTTTATAACGATCATTATAATTATTGTTTAATTAAAATGTTTAGATTACCTTGGTCATTTTTCTTCTTTTTATTTAAGAAGTCCAATATGGAGAATTTTTGACGTTTATTCATCACTTCACTTATTTATAATTATATAAAATAAAGTATACTCTGTTCAGGTTAAGAGTGCCCAAAATCGCGCATGCATACTGAGCCGCCGACAGCTGTCAGACCCCCCAGGCGACACCACACGCACTGTGATTGGTCAGCATTGTCGACCGCCGTCGTTGACTGTCGGATCGGACTATCTGCCGCCGTCTATGTACAGATGGTTATGCGTCGGCACACCAGAGCGCTCCCCATGCATGCGCGAACAGAACCAGTTTTCGTCTGAGCGACTGGGCACTCTTAACCTGAACAGAGTATAAAGCCGTATAGGTAGTTTAATGTTTACTATTAAAGCTCCGACGTGGACTCCAGGAGTGCGGTTTTTATTATTTAGTATTTTCAACAAAATTACAATTTACAAAACATTACAACAGTAACAAGCCAACATAATACCGATTACCTAGTGGCGCGCCCTGTTTCCAAATTAAATATAAATAATATTTAATTTTTGTAGAAAACGATCGTCATTCGTCAATCGTAGATAACAAAAACCACAGACGGATTCTCCAAATACGAACTCTATATTATATTATTATTTATTACCCATTGTCAGTGGTCTACTATAGATCGTTATCGCCGGCATAACCGGGAGTTTTCGTGAACGTTATATTATATTTTTAGCTCTTAAGCAGTTTATACCACGAATTAATATGTGGTGCAAACACTTGAAACGTGTTGTATAATATTATTCTATATATATAAAAGTAAGTGGCGGTTTCTATTATCATTATGATCTCGAAAACTACCCGACCGATTTACTTGAAATTCAACATAGATATTCAGCTACATCTGAGGAAGGTCAGAACCAACATGAAAACCCCATTCGATGTCTTCCTCGGTCACCAGGTCGAGACGACTTCATGTATATTTTATAATTTTTATGTTTCTATGGAAACTGTTTGTTTATAAGCCACTACGAGCAAAATAAAAATACAAAAATGAAAAGAAGGCATGATAAGAACGATATCGAAGAACAAAAAAATAAGAATAATATAGGAAAAGTTAATGAATGATTATTGCAGAATAAGAGAAGAGTGTCAAAAACAAAATTTTTTGTTGTTTTGATTTAGTTTATTGTGTTCTTTGGTATGGTGGATTATTTAAACGGGTATATGAGGTATACCATCAGAAAAGGCTTGAATTAAGTTTTCCAATAGTGTATTATATTATTTGTAAAAATTATATAATAATCTGTATCATTTTAATGCTTGAGGATATACGATGTTCTTTGTTTTTCTATTCGGACAATAAATGTAGAGATTTTTCGGGTCACCACCTCTTGAACATGCTACATATAATTGACCATGAGAGAAGCACATAGGATCAAGTATAAGTCCTGTACATTTCAATGATTGACCTTGAGTTTTATTTATAGTGAATGTGAATGCAAGTTTTACCGGGAACTGTAATCGCTCAAATCCAAACGGCACATCATTGGGTTTAATAGGTATTCTTGGTATATATACGACTTCAACTTTTCCACATCCGGTTAATATTGTAGCTTCTATTACATTATTTTTCAAAGATTTTACACTTAAACGGGTTACATTACATAATTTAGGTGGATTAATATTTCTTAAAATCATGATAGGTGCTCCAATTTTTAAAGTTGATATATGAGGAGGTAAACCTGGTATTGTCAAAGAATTTAAAAACTCCATTGGATAGTGTATTGAATCTTCGGGATTGCATACGGTATCGATTGATTTATATGTTTTACTTTCTCCTGGTATTATCTTTATTAATATCATCTACCTTATTATTTGTCGGTGCAAGTATGTCTCTTTCACATATCCATTCTTGATTGATATAATTCTTTTGCATATCAGGAAATACATGAGTTTTCAAAGATTCAATTGATTTTACTATATTGCAAAAATTTGATGGAAATTCCACAGTATAATCTGAATCTTCCTTCCATTTCCCATTACCAAGAAGTAGTAATTGTTCTGAAAAAGTTGATAGTGTAGGATCACCTGCTAAAAATACCCTCATGTTTTTTTTAACATTATTATCTTTGTATGTTTCCAAAGATAAGATTTTTTCAAACATGCATCAATTTGGTCAGCAGGTGTTCCATGTGTTATTACCGGTAATGTTTGTCAGAAGTCACCAGCTAAAATAACCACTACTCTTCCCATTATATATTCATTGTTATTCAAATTTTTTAAAATTTTATGCAATGCCTCTGGACCTTTTTTATGTGTCATCGTACATTCATCCCAAATTATAACTATTGTTTTTTTAAGTAATTCACAAGTAGCAGAATTATCTATAATTATCTATAAGGCTCTTCTGTTAAATTGAAATTCAGATGTAATTTCAGTGCTGAATGGGCAGTACGTCCACCATGTAATATAGTTGCTGCAACGCCAGAAGAAGCTACTGCTAAAGCAATCTCTCCTTTCTTTTGTATTTCCGCTAATATTAAATTTAATAAAAAAGTTTTTCCAGTACCTCCTGGTGCATCTAAAAATATTAAGCTTCCTTCGTCTCTTTTAATAATATCCATAATTTCTTCAAATGCCTCTTTTTGATCATCGATTAGCTGCGATTCATTTTTATTTATATATGTATTTAAATCTGTGACGTTGTATGATGTTTCACGTAGGATTTCTGTTGGGAGTGACGTATTTTGTATTCGATTCGGTGAAGTCAGTCCCCATTGTTTTAAATTTTTTCCAGATATTAACAAACATCCATCTTCTATGATTATGAGAGTTTCATTGAAGATTTCATCTGTATAATCTAAATCCTCACAAATATTCAATTTTTGTTTTTGATATAATATATCTTAACTCTTATTTTTTTTAAATTTTTCCCATAATTTTTGTGGATTTGATGGGACACATGATGTCAAAATGATTATAAAAAGCGATCTTATTTGACTTGATCGTTTTGTGTCATTTGCTTCTGATAATGCATCATCCCAGTGTTTATCATCTTTAAGTAATCCAAGTTTTTGACATGCTTCTGTGTATGTATCATATTCAATACCATCAACAATTTTTAAGTTTTTAAATGATGTTGGACCACGTACATTATGTAATAATATTCGTAGATAAAAACATTCTGGGTTATTTGGATGTATTGTATACATTCGACCTATAGTGTCAGTTTTATAGATATTACTATATTGGGATATTCATTAACTGGACTTCCTTACTTTCACTTGAATTATCACATGTATAATATTTCGCAACATCGTAATAAAATAATGTCTTGGCAAAATTATCTATTGCACATTATTTAAAAAAGGCGGTTAATGTGGTTTCTGGTGGTTGTTGAGATTTTTTTTTTATATTTTCAACTGAGAAGTAAACAAGTTGTCCATTTTCAAGGTGTACGCTAAGATGAATTATAGATGGATATCGATCATGAATTGGGAAACCTAAAATTCGCCATATTGCTTCATTACTATTTATGTATCTTCCAGATTGATATTCTTCAATTTCATCTTTTTTATTTTTGATTGTAAACATTGCTTGATCACTCCCTTTGTGAATGTATTTTAATATGTATTTTATTGCAACGACTGAACTACATGATTCAAGATTGATATGTGCTTTCATTATTTTTGAAACAAGTGGAGAGTAAGGAACAATACAACTGTTATCTACATCGACTGGTTTACCATTCATCATTTTCATTTTTATAGTAGTTTTAAAACCACCGAAAATTTTATTAAGAAAATAAAAAAAATAACACTACCAAACTGAATTCTTTATTTATTAAGAAAAAAAAATTCAAAGTGAAATATTCGTATGGTCGCAACCCGGGCGAAGCCGGGGTAACACCAGCTAGTATAAATATATAATATTTTATTATTGCATTCCTAATATATCCTAATATACAGATTTAAAAACTAATACCAAAAATTAAATTAAATGTTAATCTTTCCAATATTTTAGATTCTGAGCGGAGCGAGGAAGCTAGTGGTTTTACAATGGTGTTTATTTTTTATTTATTTTTTATTTTTTTTTTTTATATCCTGTATACAAAATTTCTACCAGAAGGAGTGCTTTGATTTCAACATATAGTAACTTATCTTTTAGCAAATTGGACCAAGATGGTACTTTAGAGAGGTCATTTTTCGATTTTCTCAATAGTTATATAATGCCACGGGAAAAACCACCGAAAAATTACGAAAAACCATTTAAAATCGGATTTTAATTTCTAACGCTTTGTTTATCACCATAGAAACGAATAAAAAATTATAATATTAATTCAACTTACATGATATAATAAATAATAACTATATAAAATATCCAGACTGACAAACCGTCTCCGTTCAGAATCGTTTTTCTTATACAATGATATTATATCATTGAATTCAAGTTTAATAAAATCCATTAAACAATGACCAACTTGTAACCTACTGTACAGCTGAGCGACATCCACTTACCTGCCTTTTTTTGTATTTTTTTTTTTTTTTTAAGAAACAATTTTATATTCATAAAAATGTCGAAGGACGCTGCGTTCCCCTGCGTTCTTTGATGAATAGAATAAAGGGGTACGCAATAATATGAAGAAAAATGAAGAGTAGCTGAGTCCTCCTGCGTCCCCCCCAATTCAACCACTGTCTACAACCTGAACTGCCTGAACCGCAGTTACACATATTAATAATTCGTTACCATAATTTAAAATCTATGATTATTTAATAAAGCAAATTATGTATGCTTTTTTAAAGATAACTATTTAACAACTGGAAATTTCGTTACACCGACCATTTAAATGGATTCTCCATAAAATTCTCTTTCGATAAACGTGTGATTAATCTAATGCACAAACAAACGACCACAATAGTTCCGAATACAGTGCATAACTAATATTATAATAGTATACCTACATATGTCGTTAACTAATTTCCTATACGTTTATACCTATTGTCCATAGTTAGAAAATTTAAATTATAGTAATTATAGTATTATAACAAATTACATTTAATTATAATCATTTTTGAGACGTATACATTATTACCTTTGATGATTGAAATTTAGAGTTCACCAATTATTTAAACAATTGTTCATGTTTAACACCCTTAAATAGATTTATTATTGATGTGATTATATGAATAGCAGTGGCGTAGCCAGGAGGGAGGCTATGGTGGCAATAGCTAGCCCCCCCACCATTGATCAGCGTTGGCCTTAGAAAACTTGAGATTCTGGTCTTTTGGTGTACGAAGATTCAAAAATGGTCTATGGTCGAAGTACGTACGACCATTATTTCACCCGTAATAGGAGTAGCAAAAAGTTGAAAACCGCATTAAATAATTATTCGTATAACCACACGTTTCCTTATGGTATACGTCTGTTTAATGTTTTAAGTAATAATTATTTTGAACTTTTTTTCAAACATTTATTTTAGTAGGCGTGTAGCTCATTCTTCATTAGTGTAAATCGATAGGTATATAAGAATAAAATATTAAAACCTATAAAATAATAGGTCAATTCACTCTAATATATTCATTTTAGCCAACAATACAAAATTGGAACGGCTGGATGTACATTTTGAAGTACTAGCTCCTTCAATATTGAACGTATAGTCTTGAAATCTTCGAGGTTCAATGCAGTGACAATTCTAGATCAAATGTCTATTCTCAAAAAAGCCGCGAATCAGTTAAGTTTGAAAAATTGGCAAAACAAAATTTCCCGCCAATTTTTATTTGGAAATATTCAAATTTTGAACACAACATTTACCCAATTAATAATTGAGTTAAACAACTTTTGCCAGATTACCAATGATCTTCTGTTTCGATCCTCGAAGGTTTCATAAAGATCCAACTTTTATTGAATGTTTAGGTTTTCGATATAATACGAATTTGAAAACCCTATCTTAAAACATAAATCATTCAATAAAAGTCCCATCTTTATGAAACCTTCAAGAATCGAAGCAGAAGCTTAGCTAGATCATTTCCCAGCCAGTTAAAGTTTTTTTTATCTCAATTACCAAGGAGGTCAATTACGTGTTAAAATTTGATTTTTTCAAAAAAAAAATTAGGAAATTTTGTTTTGCTAATTTCTCCAACTTAAAATCGAGACGTGGGTTTTTTGAGAACATAAATTTGATCTAGAGGTGTCACTGAATTGAACCTCGAAGATTTCAAGATTATACATCCCATATTGAGGGAACTAGTACCTACTTCACAATGTACATCCAATTTTGTGTTGTTAGCTAAAATATATGTATTAGAGTGAATTGACTCATTATTTTATACATTTTAATATTTTATTCTTAAGGTACCTATCGTGATACTTTTAAATTTAAGTCAATTATATTTTTAAAAGAAACATTATAATATTAGTCGTCGCCAATCAGTGTATTCTTTATGTTTTAAATATTTAATTATTTGTATACTTATATATGTATATACTTTTCAATATTTCTTAGTTTTGTACATAATAATTATTTTATTCTCTAATTGTACTTTAATCTATATATTATTGGTCATTTATACCACATTCAAAATTTTAATAGGACTAGACCCATTGAATTATAAAATAAATAAATAAATTTAATAAACAAGTTGGAGAAATACTTATGTAACAAAAATGCATATCACGAGTAAAGTTGCTGACACAGCTATTTAATTTATCATGACTAGACTTCTAGACTTAATTAATGACACAAGTTGTTGCGCCCGAAATGCAACAACATAATCATTAATACTCTTAATGCATCCTACCACCACCGGCACACACAACACCTCTTTATGTTTATATTTGTATTGTTTTATTTCTGTATAATTGTGTCCGCTGTGTATTGTGATTAACTAATATATTAACTGGAAGTTGAAGTGATACGACGGGCGACGGCACGACGCGACGCCTGGATTTTCTGGTTTAATTTAAAAATATTGTTAGTAGTGTTAGTACAGTCTAAATATAGATAGGTACTAGGTTATTAATGTTATTTTCAACAAATGACCACTGTGATAACTGATAATATAACTATGAATTGTTGACATAAGCTCCGGCCTATCAATAGTTATTATCGGTAATCCGTTCGACCGTCTGTCCGTAACCTGCAGTATACACAATTTACATTTGACATTCACAATATAATTATAATATTTGTGACTGAATAATTAGCTAGTGTAGTGACTACACACTACACAGCGACTATATAGAAACTTTTCATAATGCACGGTCGATACAAACCATTAAATTATTTTATAACACTTATATATTCTTATTATATATATTATGTTTAAATAACTAAATAAATAGGTTATTAAATGTAAAGATACCTGGTAAAAAATAATCGTGATCTAATAAATGTAAAGGTCTGTCCACTTGTTGATCGTTCATTTTTTTTTATATAGTTTTAGAATAATTATACACTTAAACAATTAGGTTAAGTCAAAAATGTTTTGTCAAATAAAGTCACTTGTCATTTGTCAATGTATTAAAAAAAAAATAAATTGAAATTACCCAAAAATGTTGCACTCACTCCATATAAATAACAACAATAGACCAACTAAAAATAGAACGAACTGTATCATATGATAAACTATAGTTTTTATCAGCCATTATCAATATTCTGACTTGGTTAAATACAAAAATATAATTTTCTGTGTTTTCTGTTCAAAATAAGTCAATTGGAACTTGCACATAGCCAAGGTCACTTAATATCTACTATTCAACCACCTATTACTACATCTTTATTGTATATCTGATTGAATGCTTCTAAAGCTATTGGTTCATTAATCATTTGACTGACCAATTGTACTATTAAACACTTCAATAATTTTAACAATTATGAACTTAAAAATCAAAAGGAAATATATATATCACAATAAAATAAAATATTAAATAATTTGCTAAACAAATGACTACTTACACTATTTTCACTATTTTCTAATAATTTAGAAAAACGTTTTTTAAAATAAAAAAAAAAATATACATAAATTTATATAATAATTTTCCTTTTAATATTAAATATTAATTATTTAATTATTTATTATATAATACAGTAGACTCCGCTTATAAGACTCACGGATATGAGGTTCAGTCGCTTATTAGACTCAAAATCGTTTGGAACGGTCCGGACGTATCCAAATACATTAAAAAAAAAAATCGGTTATAAGACTCAACACTTCGGTTATAAGACTCAAATTTCGTAAAATAAATAGTAGAAAATAAACTTTTTTGGTTATAATTTAGAAATAAATTGGTATTGAAAAATTAATAATATTCGTGTTGATTATTTCTAGTTTCTGTTGGTACCTAATAACGTATAATAATTTTTATCGCAGATAAAAGTTCACATTTATCGTTATTATAGTGTACTGATTATCTGGTGGCTGCACAGTTATCGTAATTACGGGTACATAAATACACATACGTACACGTGCACATGTACATACTCAGATAGCATTGCAGTCAACGGTATAATTGTTGTACAATGAACGATCAGTCGGTATTCGAATTTCAACGCGTGCTTTTCTTGTTGTTAACATGAGTGCTCATACGCGACGTGCTCTTAGTTTGAATGACAAACTAGACATTTTAAGAAAATATGATCAACTTCCAAAGATGGGACAACGTGATGCAGCAGTTAGGCTGAACATTTCACAATCGGTATTGGGTAGAATATTGAAGAATAGGGAAGACATTGAATGTGAAGCATTACAAAATGAGTCGCAAAGTCGAAAAAGGAAAAGATGTGGAAAGGATGATACTGTTGAACGTGTATTGAAAGAATGGTTCGTAAAAGTTAGAAATAAAGATGCTCGCGTGTCAGGTCCTTTGCTTCGCCAAAAAGCTGAAGAATTGGCAGAAAAAATGGGAAAGGTTGACTTCAAAGCGACAGAGGGGTAGTTCCATCGGTGGAAAAAAAGAGAAAACATTTGTTTACAAAAAATGCACGGAGAACAAGGTGACGCAGATTTTACGGGTGCACATTTTTGGCTAGAAAATGAATGGCCTTCAATCATCTCCGAATTTTCACCCTCTGATGTGTTTAATGCTGATGAGACTGGCCTGTACTTTAGAGCACTACCTGAGCATACTTATGTTCTTCAAAATGACAAACAAAGGGAACAAAATCTTGTAAAGAACGAATAACGATCTTGTGTTGTGCCAGTATGACGGGAGAAAAAAAGAAACTGCTTGTTGTCGGGAAGAGTAAGCAACCTCATTGTTTCAAAGGAGTTAAAGCTTTACCTGTTGATTATACAGCGAATAAAAATGCATGGATGACTCAAGAAATCTTTAGTCAGTGGTTGATCAAATGGGATAATGAACTAGACAGAAAAATTGTACTTTTAGTAGACAACTTCACAGCTCACAATGTAAGTTTGAACTTGAAAAATATAAAACTGTTTTTTTTTACCGGCTAATACCACATCACTTATTGAGCCCTGTGATCAAGGAATTATTCGTACACTTAAAGCTTACTATAGACTAAAAATGAGAAAAAGGGTAATCACTCTCATTGATGAAATGTTTGAATGTGAGTCAACTTCGACTTTAAAGGCTAATGACCTTTCCAAGAAAATCAACATTCTCGAGGCCTTACACTTTGTCAACGAAGCGTGGAATAATATTAGTGATGTGACTATTCGAAATTGTTTTCGTCACGGAGGCTTCGTAAAAACTGAGGAAGAGGAAGAAGAAGAAGATGACCATAGTAAAGACCTCGCTGACAAAACATATGAGGATTGGATGGATATAGATCGTGATCTCCAAACTTCTGAAGAGTATTCTGAGGACCAAATTTCTCAGTCTATTATAAATGATAAGGACAACGATGAGGAGAATGACGAAAGCGATGAAGAAGAAGTCGACGTCGTAGTTAAACCACCATCAAATAATGAGGTTCTGGAGGCTTTAGACGTGATAAGGAGAGCTGTCCATCACCGTGGTAATAATTTTAATATACAATACGAATACGAACAGTATATTTTCGAAATATTAGAAGAAAATAAAAAACAAACTAAAATTACAAATTTTTTTCAAAAATAATTATTATTTGTAATATGTATTTACGTTTAATTATTTTAGTTTTTTTTATCGGGATTATTAAATTTATTCAATAATAAAGTATGTAATATGTAATATGTAATATGTGTTAATGTATTAAAATCAAAGCAAAATATGTAGTAAAATAAAATTTATAAATAGGTACGTAATTAATTTTTTTTTTCCACTTCGCCTATAAGGTTCATTCGGTTATAAGACTCACTTTGTGCTGGTCCCAAAGTGAGTCTTATAAGCGGCGTCTACTGTACAATATTTTGTCTCCAGGAAGAATTTCAGAGATTGTCCACTAGAGTGCGCTTTATTTCAAGTGCGGTCTCTTACTTCGGGATTTTTGTTTTCAAGGTTGGTACCACGATATGACAGAGTTCTTATCATGATTGGGATAACTGTATCTTGCCGGCCGCGGCCTGCAACAGCTGGGGTCTGTCTATACGCAGTCGATTAGACCACCACCGTCTACATTTTTTCATAGATTATAATATAACATAATAACATATTATTATATAAATTGTAGACTTTGATGCATATTTTGCATATATTTTGAATAATATTTCTATTCAAGGAGAAACTAGTGATTTGAATGTGTTTACTAAACGTTTGTTAGAATTAGATTTTGGATATGTTGTCTCAGTCTATAAAATATGAAGGTAATTTATTAAATAAGTCTGAATGTTTAAATAGTTATTTATTGAATTTCAAAATGTAAACTCCTCTAGATGGCGGGTCGGTTTTGCAGACGCGGGACCCTCTCCCTAATGCTATCGTAGAGTGAGTATGGCCGAGCGGCGGTCGTTGTCAGTCGTCGAGTCCGTCGAGAGGGTATCGCGCAGCCTTTGTGTGCGCGTCCGTCTTAGTGAACAGTGTTGAATAAAATATGTTAATAAATGGATTAGTAAAGTTAAATACCTTCGTAGTTTTGTTTTTATATTTGCCTTTGGGGTATGATAGCGAGAAGTTAACATACGTATTATTAGTCAGAAGTGGGATTTGTTCCGTAAAGAACGTAGTGCGTTTTTGTCGTTCGGGGCTTATGCCGGTTTAGTGGTGTGATCCGTTGTAACGTACGCGATCGCGAATTCGTTTCGGTGTGCGAACGTTAGTTGTAAAGTGTCCGGAAACGGTTTCGAAATTCGAAAAGTAACGGTCGAACCACGTGTTTTCAGCTACCGGCCGAAGTTACGCAGCGAGTTGTGGTTAGCTTTTGTTATCGCCGCCTGTGACCATAATACCGTGATAACGATACCTGGTTAGCTATTGATAACCGACGTCTGATAGTGTTCTTATCGAGAACCTCGTTGTTTTGTTGTGAACTGATAAGTGCCGCTGATAAACAACATGGGTGACGAGGAACCCTCGGACGGGACGAGTATCAAAAGCCCGTCGTACCTAGAATTGTACAATCTCCGAGCCGAGCTTGAATCCTTGCGGAAAATAACAAGCGGCGGGATAGTGTCTGAGCCAAAGCTCGAGTCTGTTGCGCAAACATCTGCGACGACGCGTCCGGAGTACCGGGTGGTTCCGGACTTGAGCCGGGCGATGACCTCGTTCACTGGAGATGAGTCTCCGCTGCAGGCGGAAGATTGGCTGGAGGAAGTAAAAGGTATGACGACCTTAAATCGACAGCCGTTCGAGTACGTGTTACAGTACGTCCGTATGCATTTAACCGGTCCGGCCAAGGATTGGTTTACTGGCCGTGAGTTTTCCGATTGGCGCGAATTGGAGCGGAAGTTCTGCCTAGTATTCGTGCGTGTGTGGCCGACCGGGAAGACGAGATGCGTGCGCGGAAGCAAGGGTCTAATGAGACTCTCATTTCGTATATGCAGCCCAAGCTCCGCATGTGCCGCGGTATCGGACATACTTTTGCGGTGTCTAAAGATTACGTCCTGCGAGGACTGCGGTCAAAGGAAATGGCCTTGTACGAAGTTGGACGGACACACGCCGACGAAGAAGACCTGCTAGGTGACCTATTGAATTGGGAACGCATGTCTTCCTTGTATGCTTTGGCGGTTGTGCCGAAATATGTTGCTTCGCAAAATGTGAGAGGAGCGCCAGTCCGTCCGCTACCGAAAAAGAAAACGGAAGAGAAGGCGAATTCCAAATAAGTGGAAAAAGTTCGATAAGGCCGTCGTGGAGGCGAGTGGGTCGAACCGTGAGGCGTCCTTCTCCAGCTGTTGGGTGTGCAAGAAATCCGGACAATTGTCACACGACTGTCCAGACAAAGCGAGTCGCAAACCCGTGTGTTTCGGGTGTGGGGTTGAAGGGCACATTCGACCCAACTGTCCGGAGAGAAACCAGACTAATTTCGCTGAAGTAAAAACTGTGACATCGAGCCATCCATATAAGAAAGTTGGACTTATAAATGATAAAGAAGTAGAAGTGTTACTGGATACGGGCAGTCACTACTCCCTTATAAAGGCGACCGTCGCTATACGGTGCGGCTTGAACATTAGGCCCTCCGCGCGTCCGCTTTACGGAATCGGGAGTACGACCGTGCCGTCGGTGAGCGCCATTGGCGAAGCCGAAACAAATGTAGTACTTAACGGTGTTGACCCGGTAAGGTCCTGTTGCTTGTGGTGCCGGACGCTGTCCAGGCTCCATAGATGATTGTCGGGCGGTCGTGGTTGGACAGCCCGTCGGTGGCGTACCACAAGGCCCACGGACGTCTATACATATATAACGCAGAGGCGAGTTCGGACGGTATGGTGGTCGGAGTAACTAGTCACGCTAGAGAAGTTGACTATCTACATGTCGCGGAAATCGGCCCCGACCCGCCAGTACACCAAGAGTTAGAATTGAGCGACTTTGTGTTTGTTAGCACGGAAGCAACATCGGAAGAACGAGACGACCTGCTACTCCTTGTCAACGAATACCGAAGCTGTTTTGCCAAGAGCTTGGACGAACTCGGATGCACGCCGTTAATGCGTGTTGACATACAAGAGGTGCCTGGTAGTTTGCCTGTCGTGTGCCGCCCGTACAAGACGACACAAGCGGACCGTGAAGAGATCCATCGGATAGTCACCAACTGGAAAAGGTACGGCGTGGTGAGTGAGACTACTTCGCCCTATGCCAGCCCCGTGCTACTAGCCAAACAAGCGGGCATAAACCGATTATGCGTCAACTATCGCCGCCTGAATAAGCAGACTATACGACAACACTATCCGCTGCCCGACATGATGGAACAGTTGGAGTCATTGGCAGATAGTCGGCTGTTTACCCAGCTTGATTTGGCGAGTGGGTACCTTCAAATACCGTTGACGGAGGAAGCTTCCAAGAAAACGGCTTTCATCACCGCGGATACGACGGGTGAATTTAATAGAATGCCATTTGGGTTGTCTGGGGCCGTCGCTGAATTTACCCGGCTTATGCAGCGGGTGTTGAGTCCTATCCAGGGACTAAACGTGCGGAATTACTTGGATGACATGGTCGTAGACGGGAAAAACTGGACGGAGATGTTGACCAATTTGCGAGCTGTATTAGGGAAGATACGCGAAGCGCAGCTAACGCTGAAGCCATTGAAATGTTCGTTTGGCGCTAAGCGGATTCACTTCCTAGGATTCGTCATCGAAGGTGGAGAAATACTGCCAGGTACGGAAAAGGTGCGTGCCATCGAGGAGTACCCTGTTCCTAAAGACGTACACGAGGTCCGGAGATATTTGGGGCTTACTGGTTTCTTCCGCCGGTTTGTAGAAAAGTATGCTGTGGTAGCTGGGCCGCTGACGCGCCTGATGCGTGGTGAATGGGTGTTCGGGTGGGCGGAAGAGCAGCAGACCGCATTCGACTCGCTACATCGGAACCTGACCAGTGACACAGTCCAGACTATGCTTCGAAAGGATGCTGCGCGTACCGAGCTCCATACTGATGCCAGTGCGCTGGGCCTAGGAGCCATGCTGTTGCAGTCGTCAGTGGAAGGTGACCCACTCAAGTTGGTGTACTGTGCTAGCCGAAAGACGAGTGATGCCGAAACGCGGTACCACTCCAGTAAGCTGGAGTTGTTGTGCATAGTATGGGCAGTTAACAAGTTGAGGCAATTTATTTTGGGGATAAAGTTTACGGTGTTCACCGATTGCCAAGTTCTTACTTACTTAAACAGCAGTAAGAGTGTGAACGCTCAAGTGGCACGGTGGTATGATGCCCTGCAGGAGTATGACATCGAGGTGAATTATAGACCTGGAGTGCGTATGACACATGTTGACGCCTTGTCTAGAGCTCCAGTAGGACCCGAAGAGTCTCTTGACGAAGCCCTAATGGAACGACAGACTGTGTGCGTGTTGATAACGTTAGAAGAACGAGTGATGATGTGTCAAACGGCAGACAAATTAATTTCGACGACGACGACGACGACGACGACGACATACGCGGGTCCCCTCTGCTCTATACCGAATCTTTTTGCATCATGGCTTTGTGCCAAATCTTTTTGCCGCATTGTACTGCGGCCGCCCCTTTGGGGCTGTGTGCCGATAATATGTACGAATATACGCGTGCAAAAAGATTTGGCACAAAGCCATGATGCAAAAAGATTCGGTATAGAGCAGAGGGGACCCGCGTATGTCGTCGTCGTCGTCGTCGTCGTCGTCGAAATTATAGAATAATTTGAGCAAGCACCCAGTTCGTTTTTTCGCGCGATGACGTCATAATTGGGTGGCTTCGTTAAATATATATATTTTATCATTAAATCAAATAAATGGCATATAGCCATGACAAGATGAATGTTTTATATTTTTGTACTTTTGCATGTATTGCCAAATTGGCAAAATTTTTGCATACGATACAATGTGTATAAATGCATATAAAAGAACGTATAGTACAATGAACGGTCAGTCTACTCTCGACATACTACACAGACCTACCCTGGCTGACTGTGAGTATGTTTGCCGGAGACAACAGTTCATGTTCGGAAATCGCTATGGAGAAGACTTGCAGGAAGAGGAATGCGCCGAATACTGCAGCGCAGATTACTGCGGTTCCGACAAAGAAGGTGAAGACGACGTCGACAGCGTTTACCAATATTCCGCTGCTACAAATTCGGACTGCTATGGAGATGGAGAATTTGAGTGTGGACAATCTGGTTCACGTCACACAGCTGTTGACGGATTTCAAACTGAAGGTGGGATCGCAATTTCACATTTCAGTTTGGATAGTTTTGATATCATTATGGCACCCGGAACATTTTTCCACATTGATGAACCCGAAGAAATGGATGACTACGAATCTGGCCCGCGACGAGCTACTGGAGGAATGCAATATGGAGGATACTCCGATGAGAGACAGAATCAGGGCCTTGTTGCTCGTGGCTCGCAAAATTATGAGCACCTGCTTGGAAGAATTATCGATAGAATTCGTGATATCGATTTTAGAGGAAATGATCGATACATCAGCGACGTTATTGTCCCCCGTGGACCTAACGGAGTTGATGAAGTTACTGCAGGGTTACAAGATATGTTGCGACAGTACCCACCAAAGCTCCCAGTCATCGTCACAGCCCATGGCGACCATGTCCATTGCGTCCACGTCTGCCGACAGTCAAACTCGGCTTGTCGGTGTGTATGGTTGCAACGATGCGTCCTCTATCGCCAACATGGACGACGACGCCTTCGACGACGCGTTTGGGCGATACGCCTCACGTCGTCGGACTGGGAAAACATCGTGCGATATTTTTCTACAGACGGCCGGGAACCCCAACAAATTGACGGCCTCGGTTCCTATGGAGGATTACGTGATGGACGCAATTTTATACAAGTATGTAGTACAAACTTATATGCAATACGTTCGTAATTCGTATCTAAAACAAGTGTTCATATCGAGCATGAGGAAAAAAAACGGCCCATCGTATCAATTTAACGTCGTTGAATATAAAAATTATAAATTTTGTACTACAGAAGTTGACATTTTCTACAACAGAGATTTGCCTAGTGTACGCAATTACGAAAATAAAACTAAATTGTTTAGAAATCATAAATACTATTATGAACCATTTGAATCTAAACCTTTCCGTATTCATTTAAATCAACTCATTTATAATATGTCTGAAAAATTACAAATATACAATGGCATTACAAAAATGATTGCCCCGGAAAAATGTCAATTTTGTTTATATCAACACTTTAGGGAAAATACACATCGTAATAGAAATTTGGTAAAATTATGTTATCCGTTTTTAAATCAAGCTACTTATTACGATATATTCGAACACATGTACGATTCTAATTATATGGATAATTTTGATTTTTCGTAAATTTAGGAAGTCAGATCTAGAAGGACTTCGGGACATGCAGGAATGGTGGAAATATGCAGCAATGAAATGCCGAACGACGTTCCCAGAGAACTCGGTGCATTTGCAAAATATCAAGACGGCCATGAGAACAACTCTTCCGCTGATGAAGTCTTCGGATACGATGAGAGAGGTTCCAGTATCAACCCGATATGCGAGTACCCAACGTCGCTGAAAAATTTGTTGTACCACTATCCCTGTTGTCCACCCGATGCGTTCACAAATATTAGGGAATTTTATTTGAATCCTAAATTAAATTACATATTAGAAGAAGATAAAAAGTGTAAAGTTGCGATTAGGAATTGGTGCGCTATTATACGGGACTGGAGTATTGTCCAATTTGTAGAATACTATAATAAACCTAATGTAAAACCGTATTTTAACGCGTACGCTAGGGGACCTGGAACCGTTTATTACAATGTCGATGAATCCGTTTCAATAGCTTCCAAGTTATTAATGTATCAATTTGAAAATGATAACGGTCTTATTTGTAAATTTTTGCAAACTTTAGTCAATATATTGGACAAGAAAATCCCAAAAAGAAATAGCATGTTAATACATTCTCCTCCGAGCGCGGGCAAAAATTATTTTTTCGATGCTGTAGCCGCCTTCTTTTTAAATTACGGAATGTTCGGCACTGCCAACAAAACGAATAATTTCAGTTTTTCCGATGGCGCAGGCAAACGTCTCGTCATATGGAACGAACCTAATTACGAGGTATATCATTTGGAAAAAATGAAGGAGCTATTAGGAGGGGATACCACCAGAGTGCATGTTAAATATAAAAACGATATTCCCTTACAAGGCCCCCCTATAATACTGTTGACCAATCACTATTTATCAATAATTAATGACCCATCGTTCAGAGACCGTTTATCAGTGTATACTTGGATAAGCGCACCTTTTCTAAAAAATTATAATAAAAAACTGTCTCCATTATTTTTTTATCATTTATTAAATAAATACAACATTACATATTGAACATATTGTGTTATTATTTACTATCCTATTCTATTGTTACAAATTGATTATAAATCGTTGACAAATCGTCACGGAAAAAGTGCTGTGGTTGCGTACTAGTCAAATTATGATGCATGACACCGTCTTCGAATGGAATATGAATTTTGTCGAAGTGCGTAAATTGATACGGTGCCCCGAATTCAACAACCATTTCAGTGTTGACTTCAAAAACGACTTCAATGTCGGTGAAACTGCTAGGTTTTATTGCTTGACTAGTAGTAGTCAATCTGTGTACGGGATATACGCCTACGTGCAACGATGGTTGTTTTTCGACTGTCGCATCATCACCGTGACGCCAAATGTATTGACCGCATTCCAAAGGCTTAAAATAGCGTTTGCTGTTAAATAATTTTGTGTACGAATCATCTCGAAGTTCTTCGGTTTCCGTATCGTTCACTTTTTCCGTATTTTTTCCAATTTTTATTTGTGTAAATCCAGCTCTACGGTTTCTTTTGTTCACCATAATAACAGTATCATTTCCTGTAACCGATTTTCCTGATATACCATTAAAAACTCCTTCAATCGGTTTTCCCAACAATCCCAATTTAGGGCTGTATGAATATTCGGCAATAGTTTTCCCAGTTGTAAAACTAGCATCTATTTTTGTGATGAGTTCATTTAACAATGGCCAACCTAATTTTGTACTGTGTCCTTTGTCCGCAACCATAGTGTAATAATGATTATTATGAAACGGTAAGTGAAAATATGAATTTGGTATACCGTCGAATTCTCCGGTAAAAATAGGTTTTCCGTCGTATTTACAACCGTACATGGCTTGAATAGTTTCTTCCTGATATTTAGTATTTTCATCAGAACACGTTGTAGGATTCATTGCATCGGTTGTCCCAAAGCCGTATTTGTAATTCATACCTCGAGTAATGTTAGTTAAATTATGTGCGACAACGGCAAATTTATTTTGATTCAGTGTAGCCAAACTAGATGTAGTTGCATTGGTCTCGAAGGCCGTTCGCGGATTACGCATCACGACATTTACTTTTACGTGTTTACACAATGATCCCGGTGTAGTACTCACTAGCTTGTATTCGCTAGGAGATAAATACAAAAACGGATATTCAACTGGTATATGATTTAACGAAGTCGTTATAACGTGTAAACCTTTTACTGTTGAAGATAAGTCCAACATTTTCCAAGCCAATCCGTATGATATAAATGAATGACATTTTTTGAATACCATAGTATACCCTGTTGTAATGTGATTGGGTCTAGGTAGTATAGCATTCTCAGCACTGGGATTTCCCGTATCGCCGTCAGAAGCAGAGGCGCCAGCAGTACCAGGTAAAACCATATTGGATTTCTTGCTAGAGGAAGCTCCCGCTGCTGGAGAATCAGCAGCCCTCTTGGACGATGTAGGTGTTTCCACCATATTACCGCTAGTTGAAATAATATTATCGCTGTTACCGACGTACTGGTTATCAGAACGCAATTGTCCAACTGAGTCAATGTTATTTCTTGATTCGCTTGTGATATGAGACGGTTCTGCATTAGTGTTGGCCTCTGGGCCCTGTGTGTCGTTGTCTTTTTGTTCTGAAAATAAAACGGTTGGCTAGAGTCTATGTTAAATGTATAATGAAGTCTACTGTATGCTTACCCGATTCTACACGACCGCACTGTGGATATATTGCACTATTACTGCCGGTAATCGCTTCGTGTGTACGTTCTGCAATGTTTTTCAGTCCAAGGCCAACAATTGTGGCAATGTTACCATAGTATTTATCAGTAGTATTCATTGCTGCCAACATAGATTTTTTATCAGCTTCCCATACTTGATCTTTTGTCGGGTTGGTCATATTGTTATAAGCGACATCGTGTTGGAACGTGACTTTATCCATTTCTGTTTTCGGTAACGAACATCCGATAAACTTATTGTTTGCATCGTATAACTTATTACCCGGTCCTGTATATGAACTGCCGAACCACGTGATTCCACCATTATCGCATGCTTCTTCTTGTTTATGAATTGTATCATATGTTTCTGCATTTTTGCTTCCAACCACGGGTGCTTGACCCAACAGACCGGTACACATAGTTAGTCCAGCCGATGCCATTGCTATACACAAACTGATCGCCTTTATCGTAGCACGCGCATTACATTCAAATCATTTTACTCAGCCGCCCAATTATGACGTCTTAATATTATAATATATATATTTAACGAAGCCGCCCAATTATGACGTCATCGCGCGAAATAACGAACTGGGTGCTTGCTCAAATTATTCTATAATTTCGACCACGACGACGACGACGACGACGACATACGCGGGTCCCCTCTGCTCTATACCG